CACAGGTGTACATGTCTGTCACAACCCATCGAGCCGTCTACATAAGGTCAATACACTTTACTGTGTGGACTTCTATCTTCCTCGGGGCCAGGGGGCGGCATATAGAGGAAAAGGACTTCTCGTTTCAAGAAGGACTTCTTGATCTCAGGCTTGTGAGCTGGTGGGATAGAGAGTCCACCTGCTGAGAATGAGAACATGAAAGGAGGAATACATTTCTGGGAGAAACTGAGCATGAATCTAGGACATGCCACCCTTGAGATGCCCAGGAGACATCTCTGTGATGGTAGCTCAGGGCATTTGGACACATGTCTGGAACTCGGAGGAGAAACTGGCCAGGCGGGGTTTGGGGAGGGACGCAGGGGGAGGCATCTTAGACCAGGGAGTTCTGCAGACCTGAGAGGGAAAGGTTGGGTGGAAGATGAGCAGGTGGAGGACGAGTGAGGAGTGCCCGGAGAACCAGGAAGAGACCCAGTGTGATGGTGCACCGTGGAGAGAGGAGGGACTATCTTCCATTTCCTAATGACCCTTCTTTTTCCAATATCTATGTTTTGGCAAATGCTTCTGTGCGCTTCCTCCCCTCTATGCCAGCCATATTCCTACACATTCTTTGACTCATAATCGCACATCACTTCCTCTATGAAGCATTGTCTGAATTCCTTCCTGAGGATCTACCACCACCTTCTCTGAGCAACCATGGACATATTTCCGTTATAGCATTTGGCAGGTTGTACTGAAATTAGTTACATCAGTTTCTTCCCATCAGAGAAGAAGTTCCTAAAGGCAGTGATTGGATATTATTATTAATTTTTAATTGCCAAAGTCTAGCACAGTAACCTGCCATATTACGTGAACAAGAGACCTGCTTCAAGTCCTATTCAGGTTGGTGCCTTTCTAACCCTGGACGCAAGTTTTGTTCACTGTTCCAATTCGACCATTTATAAATATATTCCTAGAAATATTAGACTGAACATCTAATTATCCATTAGGTGGATAATCGATCCTGTTTTGGAAAACCAAAACACGCAAGGCAAAGCAAAGGTCCCAAATCCACAGTTGCTCTGTAGATCTATGCTGGGACGGACAGCTGTTGAATGTTGGCCCTCTCCCAGACACTGTCCTGGGCAATGAGCTTCATAGTGAATTAGCCACAGGCCTTACCTACCCTACAGATCTTAGAAGGTCACATACACCCACAGACCGTAATAAACTAAACCCAACTTGCCCAATCAATGTATGAGAAACCCAAGTCAATGTAAAATGGACCAGATCAACCAAGATCTTGCCAGTTAGATGAAAGAAAAATTCAAGTTTTAAACATGTTTTAAAAACCATAATAGCGTAAGCATTTGCTTAAATGTTGCACCAACAGGTAAAACGAGAGATTGGGGGAGCTGACAAACTTGAAAGTGAGACCAACACAAGAGGCTCGGATTAGGAGCCTAGAGACTTGGCATTGCACCAAATAGCTGGACCTTCCTTGAAGGGAGGGGAAAAAATTGATCTCTCAAGTCCTCTCTAATTCCAAACAGGCCTATTTTCTGGTTTTAAAGGTATTTGCATGAGAAAATGTTTTCAAAGTAGTAAAACACATTGTATCCACCAGGGGGCAGATTATGCCCGAGGAAATCCACATAGGGCTACAGTAACCTACAAGTTTTATTTTTAGACTCAATTTTCTCTAAATTCCCACAGCCCCAATCACCACTAAAACAAAAACAAAAACAAAACAAAACAAAACAAAAAACTGCCAGAGAAATCTATTAAACAAGACACATTTTAATGAGAACTCTATTCTTAAAGACTCCATTTCCTGAGTTAATTTAGATAAATAGTTACTCCGTTCACATGGGTGTCACACAATGGGAGCTTTCTATTTGGGATCCACTCTCCCTCCACCTCCCACCTTATTTTTAAATACCGCAGTCTTTGGCATGAAAATGCCAACCCATTTCCGTTTTATTACACATACACACACACATATGCACAATGACCTCGTTTGATTTTCCTCTTTCTTCCTAAGTTACTGTCTGGCAAGTGGTATATGAGTCATCCTCTCATTTTTCCCATTGAAAGTAAGAAACACAAGCAATTATCAATGGCAAATATTTAGGTACCTAAGTGTGGAATACAATCTGACCTTCTTAAAATTGATTACGTTTTCTTTCTTCCTGTTAATCGTATTAAATTATATTCTGTATGCTGAAATGGGGATCTTATATTCTAACTTCTGAGCTTTGGTGAAGTTCCCTGCAAGAGCCTACAAACAGTGCTTCCAGACATAAGGCAAGTTTCTTGATTAGAAATGGGACCCTTGGAAACCCCCCCCCTTTTACATATATTAAAAAGCTTCATTTTGATGAACTACAAGTCATAATGACTCATTTACTTAACTAAATAAATGGATAGCCTCTCTCTCCAAGTTATTTCCACAGCCCAGGACATTAGCACCATAAAAGTGATTAAGAAAAGAGCTTTTATCTGCCCAGATGCTTGCCTCCTCTTAAGGGGCAGAGAGAGAGGTAGAATGAGAAAGGCAAAGTTCTGCTATTCTATTCATGTAATTCTGATTTGTTGTAAAAGCAAAGACCCATGCACTAGCGTAATGGGCAAAAACTGTCGGTAAGAAGAATATAATCCCTAAAGCAGTTTTCCGTGTGTGGCGCCGACAGATACTACTGAGCAGCCCCGTACATCAAAGGACTGTTGGAAGGCTGATACCTGAATGAGGTGATGCCTGAAAAGTTCCTGGCACAGTGTCCAAAACACACTAACCCTTCAGAAACCATTAGCGTCCTCATCTTTGGACAGGTGCCACATGGGACCCTTTATCTCCCAATTGTCCTCAGCTGGCGGGGGCTGCTTCCCTTCCCTGGGGTTTCAGTGAGGGGCATCCTCGGGCATGTCTGCCCATACCTACACCCCACCTTTCCTCCCCCAGGAGCTGGGGTGGCTTCCCTGACAAGTGAACTGGGAGAAAGGACTGGTCTGCTCCTCACCGGCTGGGAACTGGTTTCCTGCAGTGATCGTGGCCACCACCACTCACCTGCCTGCATCCGGATCAGGTGCTTTGGTCTAATTTGGGGCTTCGATGTTAGCAGCCCTATTGGCTTCAAGTCTAAAGCTAACATATGGCTCTCCATCTGTCTTACTTCCATTGAATCAGAAATCCGGAGGGGCTCAAGAGGGTCTTATTTATCATCTCACCTAAATCCAAAGTGCCTTGACCTTTCCTCTTGAAATAATGTAATTATTTTGCCACAAGTTGGGACTAGAAAGTCACCTACAACAGAAGTCCAAATCTTTCCCACCAGCCGTTGTGGTACACTCCAGACTTTCAGTGACAGGCGGGCCCCATGAGTGCAGGCCTGGGAGCGGGAATGAGGCAGTGCCTGGGTAGTCCATGGAAACTTCACGGAAAGTGAGGCTCAGCACATCTACTCTGGGTCCTACCCACGGGCGCTCTGAACATCACTAGAACACAATTCTGGGATAAAGAACTAATAAGAAGATCCAATTGGGGGCGCCTGGGTGGCTCAGTCGTTAAGCGTCTGCCTTCGGCTCAGGTCATGATCCCAGGGTCCTGGGATCGAGTCCCACATCGGGCTCCCTGCTCAGCGGGAAGCCTGCTTCTCCCTCTGCCTCTCCCCCTGCTTGTGTTCCTGTTCTCGCTGTCTCTCTCTGTCATATAAATAAATAAAATCTTAAAAAAAAAAAAAAAAAGAAGAAGATTCAATTGGATATCACTAGAATGTAAGTGATGAGGCCAATTTGAATTAGTTAATAAAAGTTTTTTTTTTTTTTTTTTTTTTTAAGAGAGTGAGCATGAGCTGGGGGTGAAGCAGTTAGGAGGAAAGAATCTCACACAGACTCTGCACTGAGCGTGGAGCCTGACGTGGGGCTCAATCTCACAACCCTGAGATCATGACCTGAGCCAAAATCAAGAGTCAGATACTTAACTGACTGAGCCACCCAGGTGCCCCATAAAAGAAATATTTTTAAAGAAATATATTCCATTGCTTTTTTAGACAGTTCCTAGTGATAGGTTTCGATAGTGGGTCTTCTGGGTAGTTTTTTTTTTTTTTAATTTGTTTATTTGAGAGAGAGAACGAGAGTACACACACAAGTTGGGGGAGGAGCAGAGGGAGAGAATCCCAAGCAGACGGCCCGCTGAGCATGGAGCCTGACGGGCTCGATCCCATGACCCTGAGATCATGACCTGACCTGAAATCAAGAGTCGGACGCTTAATGCTTAACCAACTTGAGCCACCCAGATGCCCCTTCTGCTAGTTTAATAAAATTCAAAATCATGGTGGCGCCTGGGTGGCTCAGTCATTAAGCATCTGCCTTCAGCTCAGGTCATGATCCCAGGGTCCTGGGATCGAGCCCCGCATCGGGCTCCCTGCTCCATGGGAGGCCTGCTTCTCCCTCTGCTGCTCCCCTTGCTTGTGTTCCCTCTCTCCCTGCCTCTCTGTCAAATAAATAAATAAAATCTTAAAAAAAAAAAATTCAAAATCATTAAAATGCTTAAATTTGGGAAATTCTATGTAATCTTACTGAATTAGAGAAAAAAGATCTCTTGCTCAAATATACAAGCCTTCTCACTCTAGAATATATATAACATTTTAAATTTGAAAGAACTACACATTTTCTTGGAACAACCAAAGAATAATTAAGGCAAATTAAAAAAGAAAAAAAAAGAAAAGAAAAATGGAAATATTATTCTGAGGCCAAGAGCCAACAAATGTGGTACCTCTTGCTTTTTTTTTTTCTAAGTGAGTTTGGCTCTTTTGAAAGCTGTATTTATCAAGCTATTTGAAATGGAAAACTCCGCCTGAGAAATTCGGGTACTTAGGAAGAATTTTTCTCATTAAGCTCCTAAGCAGGTTTGGGGTCCTGGGGGCTGGCTGGGTTGAGCGGCCAGTGGTGGGCTCCTGACACCAGCTTCCCTCCCGAGCGGCCTCCTGGCCAGCCGTCCGCCAGCCTCACGGCTGGCCGGTTACCTGATGAGGACACACTGGTCATCGTGGCGTTTCCACAGGCATCGGTAGCACTCGTTGGCGATGGCGAAGACGTGGGGGGGGAGCTCGCCCAGGTGGCACTCGCTGTAGCGTTCCATGGTGGCCCGCTCATACAGCCCGGCGATGGTCCTGTAGGGGTTCACGGAGGCAATGATGGAGCCGATGTAGGTCTGCAGGCACACGGGGCGGGGAGACAGAAGGACGCCAGGTTATACACAGCACTGGTGGGCGGGGGGGGGGGGGGGGTGTGTGTGCAGGACGAGGGTGCGTCGCCTCCGCTCACGCTGTTCCATGCTCCGAAGGCTGGGGGCCGGCCACACGGCCCCACCCGTCTCGGACTTGAACAGAATCCACCTGAGTGTGCTTGAAGAGGACCGATGGGGCTCCCCTCTGCATATGTTTTTCCTACACCTTTTTGGTACAAAATCTTGTCATTCTGTACAAACAAACGGAACCACTTCAAAGAGGACTTTCAGTGACAGGTAAACCACAGAAAGATGGGGAAGCAGCCCAAGCCCAAATCCCTGTTCCCGGTGACCTCCTCATCCCATCCCAGGTCCAGAGGACTGTCCACTCCCCAACTCCTTCCTCATCAGGTAGCTCTCAGGAATCAGGGATTAAAGAAAGAACTAGAGCGACACCAAGGGGCTGGGGAAGAGGAACGGAGAGTCACTGTTTACTGGGTACGGAGCTTCTGTTCGGGATAGGAAGAAGATTCTAGAGACAGACCGTGGTTATAGTTACACAACACTGTAAATGTACTTAATGCACTGGACAGTACACTTAAAAATAGTCAAAATGGTAAATTTTATGTCATGTATCTTTAACCTTAACTTTTTTTTTTTTTAAAGATTTTATTTATTTATTTGAGAGTGAGAATGAGAGAGAGAGAGCATGAGAGGGGGAGGGTCAGAGGGAGAAGCAGACCCCCCGCCGAGCAGGGAGCCCGATGCGGGACTCGATCCCGGGACTCCAGGATCATGACCTGAGCCGAAGGCAGTCGCTTAACCAACTGAGCCACCCAGGCGCCCTAACCTTAACTTTTAAAACAGTAACAAAACCATTTTGAAAATACTGGGTGCCACATAAATGGTCTGGAACCGAGATGCCTGACCACCTTACCCTTCTGGAACAAAATCCAGGCCAGAAATTAAGCAAACTCTTCAGAGCAGCAAAGACTATAGCTATTAACGTGTAAGGCCTGCTGCTTTGTCCACACGGACCGAACTTGTTCATTTGGACTTCTGCAGGAAAGGCTAACGGAGTTTGGTTACCAGGTTTCCAGGCTCAGACTCGATGGAAGCAGCAGAGCGGAGGGGTGGAGGCAGGCTGCGTAACTACCACCACCTCTGATCGTGCACATGCACTGTCCAGGTGCTTCATGGAGAGTTATGGGTTGCACTCGGCCCTCCAAAATTCCTACATTGAAGCCTTAACCCCCAATATCTTGGAATGGGAACCATATTTGGAGCTAAGGCCTCTAATGAGATGATTACATTAAAATGAGGCTGTTCGGGCGAACCCCAGTCCAATCTGACTACCTTCCTTTTAGGAGGATATGTGGACACTCAAACACCAGAGATGTGTGTGCCCCAATAAAGACCGTCTGAGGACCGTCTCAGACACAGTAAGATGGAGGCCATCTGCAAGCCAAGGATGGAGCCCACAGGAGAAGCCAACCCTCCCAACACCTTGACCTTGGACCTCTAGCCTTCAGAACTGTGAGAAAATTACTGTCTGTTTAAGCCACCCAGTCAGTGATATTTTGTTATGACCTCCCGAGCTGACCCACACAGGGGCCCTGACCCCTTCACACTCACAATAACCTAAGGAGCTTCCCAATATTACTAGCCCGATTTTTCAGAGGAGGAAACAGGCATAGTGATGATGTCCTGTTCACCCACAGAGCCAGGAAGTGGTAGAGGTGAGATTTGAACCCGAGAAAACCAACTGCAGAGGCTTCTCTTACATTCCTTGGCAAGGCACAATGATGCTGCCCAGGGAAAGGAAAAGCAAGCAGTGCTAGGCAAAAAGTCCAAACATCCTGAGAACATCTGTACCACAATGTGGCAATTTGTACTCATTTATATTCGTGGTGACTGCCAGGAACATCCAGCAAAGTATCATATGCTCCATGGAACGGTCTTCAAACGTAAGTAGGTTTACAATATATTTTAGAAATATTTGAACCAAAAAGGTTAAAAATGTAACAGTTATTACCATATGACCAATGATTCCTCTCCTAGATATATAACCAAAAGAATTAACAACAAGTACAGCATTATTCACACTACCCTAAAGGTCAAGCAACCCAAATGTCAATTCCCCGATGGGCGGGTAAACAAGATGTGGTATGCCCATACAATGGACTATTATTCGGCCCCACAAAGCAATAAAGTACTGATGTGAGCTACTGTGGGGATGAACCTTGAAAACATTACACCAAGGTAAGGAAGCCAGACGCCAAAATTCACGTGTCCAGAAAAGGTAAATCCATACAGACAGATTGGTGGTAGTTACTATGGGCAGGGGGAGGAAGCAGGAATGGGGGGTGACTGCTTAGTGGATATAGGGTTTCCATTTGGGGTGATGAAAATACTTTGGAACTAGACAAGAGTGCTGATTGTACAACATTGTGAATGTACTAAAATACACTGAATTACATAGTTTAACGTGGCTAATTTTCTGTTACGGTGAGTTCACCTCCATTTAAAAAAAAGATATAGTGCATTAATGGGTAAATGGTTAGGTTTTTGGAAACCTCAACTCTCCAGAAAGTCCATTTACCCCAGCCAGGGCACTGTGGGAAAGATCTGGCCATAAAGAAAGATGGAAACTGCTTTTTCCTCTGGGGAAGGAAAGTGTCCTACTTCTAAAGGACAACAGAGAACCTCCTACTTCCCTGGAAGACGCATATGTCCTCCATCAACGCTTTGACCACAGGCTCTGGTGCCTTCCTTCACATCAACTGTTTGCAGGGGTGAAGGAGGCAGTGCTTGAGCTCTGGGTGTCTAGCCCCCTACACTACTTTGTCTAAAATATCAGACCTGTTTCTACCTTTTGGTAGCTATATGATTTTTTTTTTTTTAAGATTTTATTTATTTATTTGACAGAGCGAGACACAGCGAGAGAGGGAACACAAGCAGGGGGAGTGGGAGAGGGAGAAGCAGGCTTCCTGCCGAGCAGGGAGCCCGACGCGGGGCTCGATCCCAGGACCCTGGGATCACGACCCGAGCTGAAGGCAGGCGCTTAATGACTGAGCCACCCAGGCGCCCCATATGATTATTTTTTAAAGGATTTTTTAAAGCTTATTTTTCAGTATTTTCTACACCCAACGTGGGGCTCGAATTCAAGACCCTGAGATCAAGAATTGCGTGCTCTTCTGACTGAGCCAGCCAGCTGCCCCGATTATTATTTTTATTATGGAAATATCAAAACTGTTCATTTTAGTATTGAAATATGTTCTCACTTTTTTCCTACTTTGGCAGAAATCAAGACACTTAATGCCCTCCCTCTTAAAACAGCGAGGCAGGCACAATGCAATCCTCTTTCTCAGTTACAAATAAAATGTAAAAGCCACAAAGTATCAAGCTGAGAATTAAATTTCCTTAATATTAGGATATTAACCCATTATTAACACACTTTTTAAAAAGATGATATGCCCTGGGGCGCCTGGCTGGCTCAGTCGGTAGAACATGCATCTCCTGATCTCAGGGCTGTGAGTTCAAGCCCCACATTGGGCGTGGAGCTTACTTAAAAACAAAACAAAAACAAAAAAAAACAAAAAAATTTTTTTAAATGATACACCCCCAGCCCATGTGTTGAAAATTTTGCACACCTTGTCATAACATGTTTGTATGGTTGTTCTAAAATTTGGGGAGATGAGCCTTTCTTCTAAAAAGTACTGATCTACTCATAAAGAGTATCATAACCTTTCCACAAAAGCTTTACTTGGAAAGTGATTATTTTGGTCAAAACCTCCTAGGCATGCTACCCCTTCCTGGTTGGGCAACCCCTCTGGTCATACAGCGTGGCTGAAGAGATCACTCATGCTGGAAGTGCGGAGGACATGGTTTTTGTACGAGGGCAGGAAAGCCAAAGGCATGAAAAGCTTGTTAGCAGAGTTGAAGCTGGAACATCCAAAATGGTCTTGTGCCTGGCTTTATTTTTAAGTAATTTATACTGCACGTTGCCCAATGAAAGAGCGGTCAAGTGTTTCAGGACAACAATGTGGTTGGTGGCTACGGCAGTTACCAGTATCACACATGTGCCCTCCCCAGTCCCTACCCCGCCGTGATTCTAGAGGAGAAGGAAGGAAGCTGAACAGCCGACATCCAGCACATAGGCAGCCTGCAGAACTGGCCGTCAGGCCTGGCGGGCCCTCTAATGCATCAGGATACCTTTCCCCACTGAGCCCAGTCACTGCCACACAGTCGGAGCTGGCCTGTAAGCTGAGACCCCACAGTGTCTCTGGCTCAGAAGCGTCATTCCAACACATCTACAGATCGCTCCATTGTTGAGTTACCGTCCCGACTTCAAGAGGGAGGAACCACGCAATACCGTGAAATAGAACACTTTCACAAAGAGCCTCGAAAGGCACATCATTTGAGGTGAAAGACAAAGATCCAAAGTTGGTTTAGCTGTAAGACGTTATTCACGCCAAATGACTGACCGCCATGGCTCTGGTGGTTGCACACTTCTCCTGAAACAATATTGATCTTCATGACCGACTTCCCCAACAAGATGTTGAAAATGCATTTCTCATCTTTCAATCTAGTCAACTACCATGAAGATCATGTGGTCCCTTATTATACATTGTGGAGAAATGATAAGTTCCGCAGAAATATTACTAAAAATAGACTCATCACTTTATGCAAGAAAGCCTGATTTTTTCCCATTTTGATGGAAAACTTCTGGAAATGTACAGCACATGCCTTTGTGTTCTCAAATCCAGGTTAGTGTACCTAATTTATTCTTTTAAGGATTTGTGGTCTTATTCGGTCTCTCAGCCCATAACAATGACGCCCACACTGACTGAGGTAGACAGGTCTTCTCATCTCCACCAACCCACCAACCCCAGATCCTGAGCTCCCGATTGTTCCTCGAGACCGCAGCTTCTCAACCTTCCCCTGCACGCCAGGTAGCACCGTTTGAGGTGGTTCCCAATCTC